CTTGTAGTTAGTTCAAGGATCGTTTGTTGGCCTTTAGGAGTGTTTTCCAGTCCAGTCTGTTGGGGCACTATGCCCTGGCCCCAAAGTCCACCTTCAGCATTCCCTGGGGACCTCGCCGCTCCATACTTCATCATTTCTTCCATTTGTCTCAGCTCCTCTAAGATTAAGACCAACTTGCAGAGTCTCTTCTGAAATCCATGCTGATTTTTTCTTTCCAGTCTTTTTAAGGAGCTTTTGATTTCTTCATGTATTATATTCTTAGTGTCATTTCACAACTCTTCTGGTCTTCCGTAATTAGCATTCAGCTAATCAAATCTGTCTTTGAGATGGTTTCTCAATTCAGATGGGATGTGCTCAGTGTCATAATTTGGCTCCCGTGGACTTGTTTTAATTTTCCTCAGCTTCAACTTGACCTTGCATATGAGCAATCGATGGTCTGTTCTGCAGCTGGCCCCTGACCTTGTTTTCAGTGAACAATGCTGAGCGTCTCCATCAACTCTTTCCATAGATATAGTTGATTTGATACCGTGCATCTAATTCAGTGGGATCCATGTTTATGTCATTGGGGGGGAAAAAAGAGAAAAGATACGGCATTTACAATGAATAAATTGTTGACCTTGCAAATTTCACTCATGTGATCTCTGGCATCTGTTGTCCACCTTCTGATCCTTCTTTGCTTCTGATGTCTGTGTTTCAGTCACCAGTCATTACCAATGCATCTCAGTGGCATAGCTGATCAATTTCAAGCTGCAGGGATAAATAAACATGCCTTGCTCTCTGACTTTAGCGGTTGGTGTGGGAACGTGCGTAATCGTCGGGCTAAGTGGTCCTTCTTGAAGGCTCGTGAATACTGTCTGACACTGACGCGTGTTCCCCAGTGTTCCCGTTCCTCTTTAACACGCCATTCTCGGCGTGCTAAACCCGATGACTGCCTGATGCAAAATGACCAAGGCCAGGCCATCGCAGCCCATGGAGGATCTTGACTTTGGGTGTTCCATTTCATTTCTGAAGACTTCCAGTTTTCCTAGACCCATCCTTCACAAGCTCTGCATTCTGACAATCAATGGACGTGTGCAGCGGTTTCTTCTCATTTTGAGTTGTGTCCCATCTGCCCCACCTACTTCATTCAATAAGGCCGACTCTACTCGGAGGAGGAAACTCTTCCCACCCCTACCCCCACCCCAGGGGCTCCGCATCTTCTGGGTCCTCATCTATCAGACAATACTCCGCCGCTACTGGGAAGGTTTTCACCAGCCAGTCCTTTGGGAAGGCGACTGCCTGGTTCTCCTTCTGAGTCTCTTCTCAGGCTGGAAGTTCTGCCGAACTCTGTCCGCTGTAGGGGACTCGAGTCAGCAGCCTCCAGTTAAGCATTTGATGGAGTCCCTGAGCGATGCACATGGTTAACGCCCCAGAGGGGAGGCAGAAGAAAGACCTAGTGACCTGCTCCCACAGACCCTCGGGAGCACAGCTCTACCCTGACACTCGTGGGGGCGTCAGGAGGCAGAGTCATGGGATGGCAGGCCGTTTGGCTCTGGGTTCACAGGCAGAGTAAGTGCACCCTAAGCTTGACTCTATTCCGCTTCCAACTCCAGGGCTCCCCAGGGCCAAAGCCAAGCTCAGGCCCTTCCCCAGGGTTCTCGCCACCCACCTCCCACTTGGTCTATGGAACAGGGGCTCCTTTTGAGGAGGCGGGGGAGGAGCCCCCCCCTCCCAACCCACCACCCCTGGGCAGGCTGTGTGCCACTGTGGGAGGGGGCAGCAGCTCAGGCCTGAGGGGAGGCAGTAGGAGGGCCTGGGAATATGAAATGGGGAGAAAAGAATTACGCATCTCCCCCCCACCCCCCTCCGCCTCGGGCTCCCAGGGGAAGCTGCCATTATCTACAGAACAGCTGTCTCGCTTAGCCTCCTCTGTGTCTTCCTGAAGCCCAATTTCTGAGCAGAAAACTCTGGAAAACAATGACTCATGGACTCTGGGGCCCCCAAAGCCACACCCCTTCCTCCCGAGCTGCCCGAGGGAGGCTGGCCTAGAAGCATTCCCAGGAAGCCCTTCTGCTGAAGCTCTGGATTTATCCTCCCGTGTGTGTGTGTGTGTGTGTGTGTGTGTGTGTCTGGTGGGGGTGGGGTGTATGTGCTGTGGGTTTTCCCCCCTCCACAAAGCTTTCCCTGGCTTAGTTGCCTTCAGGTGCAGCTAGATCTAGGGTCTCCTGTAACATGTTTAAGACCCTGCCTTCCCTGTCTCCGCTTTCCTGGCTTGGCACCGCTGGCAGACTCCACATGGGGACCAGGTGATGCCGCGGCTCCGGACTGACATCTGCTGCCCGAGGCCAGCGGTGCTGCTGTCTGAGGAGGGAAAAAAAAAAAAGAGTTTCTGGAAGGGATTCCCAGCAGTCGGATTGCATCACAAAGTCCGCCCTGAGACCAGGGCGTGTGGTGTTGTGATTGGCTAGGTCTGAGGTCACTAGGGGTGTCATCGGCTCTGCCACAGTCCTTGAGGACCAGGCGTTGGGGGTGGGGTGCTGCCCAGGGTGTGAAGTGGAAAAGAGGGGAGTGCCTGCTGAGTGGGCAGGTACAACCTGTGCTCACGGCAGGCCTCAGGAGCCACCCCAGGGGACCTGGTGACGGGGTTCAGTGGATGTTATGGAGGTGGGCGAGGCTGACCTCCTCTGGCTCCACGAGGCAAGTGTCAGACAGGTCTCCACATTCTATCCTCCACGGTCCGGTCTGGGGTCTAGCCTCCGTTACCTCCTCTCACCCCAGCCGTTCCTCCCACGGCACTCGACAGCGGTGCTGGTTCCACACTGCACTGCAGGGCCCCCCGCAGAACTCACAGCCCACAACACTCACCATCAGGGGAGTTAGCAGGCCACCACAAGTCAGCATCAGCAAACAGTAAGGGCACAGCCATTGGTCTCCCCAGCCAGGAGCAAGTCTCTCTCCGGCTCTCGGTCTCTCAGACACATGGTCCCTTGGCCTCCGGCCTGCCCCTCGCTCCCACAGCTCCATAGTCTGGGACCAGAGGAGAAGGTGGCCTCTGAGCCACAGTCTCCGGTGCCTGTGGTCTCGGCGGCCTCCCCACCGCAGACAGGGACGGTGGACGTGCTCTTGCAAGGTCCAGGTCCGAGGGGTTTCTCTCTGCTGCTTCAAAGATGTCTCACCCTTACAGCCTGGGGCGTGGGGGGGGCCGTAGGAACTGACCAGTCCCCTCTCTCACGCTTGTTTGCATAGCCCCACCCAGTCATTTGGTGGGAGTTCACAGAGACTTGGAGAGAAGAGCCAATGGAGAAATCTCCCTCCCCCACAAGGAGCGTATCCCTCCCCCTGTAGGAGTCTTGGGTGGCTTCCCGAAAGAGAGGACATTTGGAGTTGGACATTAAAGGTCGAGTAGGAGTTTGCTAAGAGGCAACCTGGGGAGCCGCCAAGGCCTGCCATCCAGCACGCAGTCCAGCAGGTGTGGGCGGGAAGCCCAGTGGTTGCTCACGTGTTCTCTGTCTGTGTCCAGCGATGGCCCCTTCTGCCGGATCTGCCACGAGGGGGCCAACGGGGAGACCCTGCTGTCACCGTGTGGCTGCGCTGGCACACTGGGCGCTGTGCACAAGAGCTGCCTGGAGAGGTGGCTGTCCTCGTCCAACACCAGCTACTGTGAGCTGTGCCACACAGAGTTTGCGGTGGAGAAGCGGCCCCGGCCCCTCACCGAGGTATCCTGGGGAGCTTGAGGGGGTGAGTTGAGGGGTGGGAAGCTGGGCTCAGGGGCCTTGGCGGCTCTTGTGGGACAGGGAAGCCACTTCTCTACAGGGGGGCGGGGGGTGTCCTGTTGATGGGGTACCTGTCCGCCCCCACAGTTGCCACCTAGACAATGGGGGCTGGTGCCAAAGAAGCTCACAGCCTGTCGGAAAAGAGGCAGCTGGCAGCCAGAGCGGCAGTGCTGTGAGGGAAAGAGGCAGGGTCTATGGGGAGCCCCTGTGGGACTGGAGGCAACTTAACTAGGGGGCTTAGCCAAGGCCATGCTGAGGCCTGACGGGTGAGAAGGAGCCAGCCTTGCTGAGAGAGCGGGCAGGCCGCTGCTGCCAGGGCCTGGAGGGAGGCCCAGCTAGTGCTCTTGAAGGACCCCAGTGTGACAGTCAGGGCCAGGGCAGCTCTGATTGCCTCAGTCTGGGACCCTGGCTGCTCCCCAGGACCCCCCGGTCAGAGGAAGATATGGCCCCTAGGCCCCATACCCTCCCACGGGGCCCCACGCTCCAGGCACATGCCTTCCTCTGGGCCTTTGCCCTTGTTCTTCCTGCAGTCTGGAACACAGCCACCTTGTGGTCATCTCCCATGGCTCTTCCTGGGCAAGGCTGTCCCCTCGCTGACAATTGCCCCACTTTGTACCTTGCCCAAGTAGTACGGGAGCCCTGAGACGCCAAGGACCCTCCCTGTCCCTCTTCACAGCTGGGAGAAGAGGGGATAGAGAAAGAGGGAGACAGGGAGAGGAGGCAGGGAGGAGGAGAAACAGGTGCCTAGACAGGGCTGGCCCTGGGGTTGTCTGTGGAAGGAACAGTGGCTTCCAGAGCCCCAAGCAGGCACAGCATGTACCTGGGTGTCGGGAGAGGCCCAGGGCCTGGAGGCACCACTTGGCCCCTTCGCCTCCTCTCCCTGCCCAGTGGCTGAAGGACCCCGGGCCCCGGAAGGAGAAGCGGACGCTGTGCTGCGACATGGTGTGCTTCCTGTTCATCACACCGCTGGCGGCCATCTCAGGCTGGCTGTGCTTGCGTGGAGCCCAAGACCACCTCCGGCTGCACAGCCGGCTGGAGGCTGTGGGGCTCATCGCCCTCACCATCGCACTTTTCACCATCTACGTCCTCTGGACGCTGGTGAGTGCCCGTGGCCGCAGGACTGGATAAAGGGCACCCCATTAGGGGCCTGAATGGGGGGGGTTGGTCAGAGAAAGGGGTGCGCACCCAGGGGTCTGCTCAAACACGGCCCTCAGAACCAGTCCTCCCCACAGAGGCGCCGCTCTCTGGCCCTAGCCACCCAGAACTGGGTCAGAGCAAGCCAAGGGGTTGCCACTTGTAATAAAGTTGGGGGGGGCCAGCCCCCACCACTACCCACGGGTTCAGTAAGCACAATTGTATGGTTGAGATGTATAAATATTATAGTAAAAGTCATCGAGAACATGAGCGATAGAAGAGACATTACAATAATGCAGTCAGACACATTACATGGTAGCATTGCTCACCTCAGCCCCACTTGGAGGGAGGGCAAGGGAACAAGGGAGTGAGGATTGGAAAGGAGAGGGGGAAGAGAGGCCAGGGAGGAAGAGACCAGCGAGAGAGGCCTCTATTGCTAACCCAGGCCTATCTTCTTACTGGGGGCATGCAAGCCCACTAATTACAGGTAAAGACATACATCACAGGAAGGGGTTGCACTATAGGTTATACAGCAGTGAAAGGGGGTGGTCTAGGGACATACACGCAGTAGGAAGAGGAGGGATTGGGGGTATATATGTGACAAGATGGGCGGATCCTAGATTTAGGATGGCAGCTTGCGTTTGGATGTCACAGAGCTGGCATGACCTGTTCCTGGCTCAACTGAGAGACCATTATCAGTAGGGCGTGAACTCCTCCTACAAGAGCCTGTCCATTGTCCCCAGCAGCAGGGAGCAGGCCCACCCCTGTGGTGGGGCAAGACAGCAGTCTGACGATTGCCTTTAGGGAGGTTGTAAGCATCTGACCTCCCCCCACAACCACTCTTCAGCCAGCCCCAGAGTAGACACCAGGGTCAGCATGGGGTCGATAGGACACTCTGGGTTTTAATCCTTCTCTGCACTTATCTAAGACCAAGACTCCAGGAGTGTCCCAGGCAGACCTCAAAGAGGCCCCAGGCCACTGCATGCCAGCCAGGCTAGCCCAGTGCAAATAAAAGTGGTGTTCACACTCTGCTGTAGTCTATTACTGTGCAGGGACCCTGGGGAAAGGTTCGTAATATGGTGAGAATGCACCAAGGTGACAGACACACCTGAGTGAGCCTGCACTGCTAGAAAAACACTGCCAATAGCCCAACACAGGCTCATCAGCACGTGCTGGGCAGAGCATGGAGGTGAGGTGTGCCTGCATATCCCCTGTGAGAATACCCCCCCCCCTCACAAATACCCCATTCCCGCCCATATGCTTCAAGGAGTTAGTGGGGAAATAACATGAAAAAACATCATGGAATTTTCCTATGAAATTTTGAAGCCCTCATGGGTGTGAATGTGTGTGTGGGCTTGGTGTGTGTGGGGGGGGGCCGTTGGAGTTAGTGGTGTGTGGTGTGTGAGTGGAGTATGCACTATGTGAGGTGTGCGTAGGGTAGGTGCCGTGTAATGCAGATAGCATAGAAGCACAGGGACTTGCTCGCCCTCCACCATCCTAGGTCCAAACCTGCGCCCAGTGCCTCTTGCTTGCCGAGGTGTGTCCTGCTTCCCTGTGTGTTTGCCGCGAGCAGCTGTGCATTGGGCGCCTGTGCAGATGATTCTTTCTTGGTAAAAGGGTCTGGACCCCCCAGCCCCCTCCCCACTCAGAGCCCAGGAGCAGGAGAGAACAGGGGACTCCCTGCGCCCCTACCCTGGAGGGAGAGGGAGGGACGTGTGCAGATCCCAGCTTGGTCTGGGCCCCAGCAAGTGCCCACGGGTCCTGCTTTCTTCCGGTCACTGTCCACTTGCCCACTGCCCACAGGTCTCCTTCCGCTACCATTGCCAGCTGTACTCCGAGTGGAGAAAGACCAATCAGAAAGTCCACCTGAAGCTCCGTGACACCGCGGGCTTCCAGGGCACCCTGCATTCCCCGCTGGCAGCTGGACTCCTGAAGAAGGTGGCCGAGGAGACACCTGTATGACAGGCGGGCGGCAGCCAAGGGCTCTGCAGCAAGAGGCCAGCGGCAGCTGGGGACACCCTGGCGTTGGCAAGGACGGAACCGCCTGCCCAGTCTCACATGGCCGGAATGCTTCCTTGGCCCAGAGCTGCCAAGCGGAGCCTCTGCTGGGGTCCTGCGGGACCGCATGGCCCGCTCTTTGGACAGGCTCGTCTCTACCGAGGACAGAGGGATGTGGTTACAAGCTTCACGTACAGCGAGCCCCCGTTTCCTCTGGCAGCCGTAGCTGAGGAGCTGGAAAGTTCTAGCAAGCTTCTTGCGCTTTTCTGCCCCTGGCGAATTTGCTCCCCTGGCGTCCTTGACTTATAAAGTTGAACCATCTTCTCCCAAGCGTACCCCGAGTGAATAAAGGGAGCCCCTGCTCATCAGTAGTATCAGTGATGTTTCTGAACCTGGCCGAAAAGCGAGGGGCCCCTGAGCCAGGGAGGTGGGGGCTCAGGAAATACACCCGGCTGGCCAGCCAGCTGGAGGGATCTGGGCAAACACAGGAAGAGGAGAGTGCCCCTTTGACAAGCGCGTTGTGGTGGCTGTGTGTCCTGGTGTCCATTTAAGCCCAGCAACCCTGCATGACAGAGAACGGCCCCAGAGGGTTTTCCTGCTGGGAAACGGTACACTGGCTGCACATTGAGCTGCTTCGCTGAACCCACCAGCTGCCCTGCAGGAGGAACATGAGGCTGCCTGCCTGGGAACCGGGGTAGCAGTGGAACGCCTCTCCTCTCCCCTCTGGACCTGTCGCTGAGCTAGGAGGGACTCCAAGGCAGGTGGCGTTGGTGGCAGCCTCAATGGAGCAGGCCAGCAGGCCTTTCTCCACAAAGCCTCTGAGCAGGCTCCACTGCCAACCACTGAGCGCTGATCTGCTGAGCCACCAGGATTCTTCCTTGACAAAAGGTAGCAGGGTGACATCACGCGACCTTGAAGACCTGAAGGAGGGCCTGCCAAAGGGTCCCTGGGAAAATCCCATTTCCTTTCATTCCATGTCCCCAGGAGCTGCTGGAAGTCTGCTCTGCCTCAGAGCCCAAGGCTCGGGCATCCACCGGGCTTCAGATACTGCCTCTCCCTCTAGGCCTGAGCCACCAAGGGCAGCAGCCCTCTGGCTCTTGACCCCCAGGGGAGGCGGGGGTTACAGGCGGTTACAGACGAGAACCCTGAGACCCACAGCTGGAGGCAGTGGACGTGGGGCTCCGTCCGCAGTCTCCACAGCCCTCGGGAAGATGGGTTCTGGTGTTAACCCCATTTGCAGATGAGCAGACTGAGGCTTGGGAGGTGTGGCCACTCATCCACAGTTGCTCAGCTCTGATGGGCCCAGGACGGTGGTCTGATCTGTCCTGTGTCCGCTCTGGTGATCTGAGGTTTTATTTTTATTTTTGCTGTTTCCTGTTTAACAAGATTTCTCTGCAGTTTCTAAGAACTCAATGAACTCTCACCTAAGCAAAGAAGGACGAAGCATTACAGGTATAGTTGTGGCCCCCTGGCCATCCCTCCCCAGTCCTCAGCGGGGGCCACCGTGGGATGCCAAGATCCCTCCATCCTTGTTCTAATATGTATGTGTGGCCCGAGTCCGAGTTGGAACCCAGCTGAGGTGACCTTAGGACCAAATACCCCCTGCTCCTGCGCCTCCAGTGTGACCCTGGGCGTCCTTGAGCCTGCTTTCAAGGTCACTGTGTGCTCTTTGTGGTGGTCTCGGTTTTCTGCTGGCCCACCCCCCCACCTAGTCTCCTGCCTGGACAGGTGGGAGGGAGGGAGCCAGCCTGGCCGAGAGTGGAGGGGTTAGGCTGGCCGAAGGATCATCCCTGAGACTGGAACCTGCCTGGTACATGGGGAGGAGCAGCATGGCGGGCCACGGGGGCAGAGAAGAGGTCAGCGAGTTGGGCAGGGCCATGCAGGCATACGACCACAGGATCACACCCAAGGTGCTGGCACTGGGCCCCCTCAACCCCTTACTCCTGACACAGGCCAGCACCTACCTCCCATCGGGTGGCCTCCGTGCTGATGTAAAGAGGCGCCAGGGTTAGCTGTCCCCTAGAGAGGGCGCCGCTTCCCTGGCAAATCCCTTTTGCTTTCATTCTCTCGGGAGAGAGCTTCAGTTGGGCATCAGGCCATCTTTGTCACCACGTGTCGAAATCAACTTGGAAGGCAATGGGATGAGGCCTCCTGGTGGTGCGAATGGTTTGCACTTGGCTACTAACCTAAAGGTTAGTAGTTCAAACCTGATAAGTGCCACAAGAGGAAAGGCCTGGTGGTCAGCCTCCCTGACAATTACAAGTCCAGAGAACCCTAAGGGGCACTTAGTTCTGCTCTGTCCATGGGGTCGCCAGCCGTCGAAATGCCCTTGGCAGGTGGATTGCTTTTGGTTTTGAGCCTAAGAGAAAGGTGCTCCGGGTTAGGCGCTCAACTAAGAGCCAAAAGGCTGGTGGTTTGATCCTACCAGAAGCGCCTTGGAAGAAAGGCCTGGCTGCTTCAGAAAACTCGACGAGGCACAGGGTCACCATTGGTCAGAACACCACTCCCATGTCAATACCATCAGGTTCTCTTAGTGATGTGGGGTTTTATTTTTGGGGGGGCCTTCATAATAACCTACTTAGAGCTATTTAGTTGTCAGTGTGTAAGGAGCCCGGGGAGCCTAGCGGGTTAGGAGTTAGGCTGCTCACTGAAAAGTCTGCAGTTCAAACCCACTGGCCGCTCCTCCGGAGAAAGATGAGGCTTTCTGCTCTGCCCTACAGGGCTGCTCTGAGTAGGAATCGACTCGGTGGCAGTGGAGGCGGCGGTGGCTGTGAAGGAGAGCAAAAATCTACACATCTTTCTTTCAAAGAAGATAGAAAAGGAGGCACTGTCAATTTAAAGAAACGTGAAAAATAATCAGATCTGGCAAAAACCAGGGGCCTGGGCAGCATTGACTTGGATTGACCAGCCTGTCGGAGTCCAACCTGGATTTGAGCCTCCTTTCCCGTCATGCCCACTGGGGACCAAGGGTCAGATAGGGCTCTGCTAGTCCCTGATGCTTGGCATGCACATTCTCCCCCTGTCCTTCCCAGATGCCTCAGCCCTACTTGGTCTATGAACTTGAAAAGGTGTAGGTTCTTTTTTTTTTTAAATCATTTTATTAGGGGCTTATACAACTCTTAGCACAAGCCATACACACATCAATTGTGTAAAGCGCATTTGTACATTCATTGCCCTAAGGTGTAGGTTCTTTGTGCCCCATGGACTCTTTCAGTCTGGACACGAATGACCTTAGGCCAGCCCATTGCCCTTGAGTGTATTCTGACCCTATAGGACAGAGTGGAATGGTCACATAGGAGTCTCAAATTGGTAAATCTGTACGGCGAAGCCGATTGGAAGTCCATGGACGGCCCAAAGACTCAACAGATCTGTCTTGGAAGCAGTATCGCCAGAATGCGCCCTAGAGGCAAGGGATGGCAAGACTTCCTCTCATGTGCTTTGGACATGTTGTCAGGAGAGATCAGTCTCTGGGGAAGGACATCATGCGTGGGGGAAGTAGAAAGTCCGTGAAAAAGAAGAAAGCCTTCAACCAGATGATGGACACGGTGGCTGAAACCATGGGCTCAAACATGAGAACCCTTGTGAGGGTGCCCGGACCTGGCGGTGTTTCATTCTGTGGCACCTGCGGGTCCCTGGGAGTCAGAACAGACTCAGTGGCACCGAATGACAACAAACTTTGATGGGAGTGGGCTGCCACCTCTAAGGAAAAGGGAAGTAAACCCAGGTGGGCCACTCAAGAAGGAAAGGTTGGTGTGG